CGCCACCGAAAAAGTGAATCACTATTGCGGTACTCACACCTGTATATGGTTGGGTCCCTCGTCAGGCTAATTTGTTTTTTTGTTTTTTTGGTCTGCGAAGCCACGAAACATTGTATTTCCCAACCATCCTGTGGTGTTGGGTCCTCGTTTTGAAGAGACAGCGCCCCGCGTTCCTTCCTTCCCGCTGCCCCCTCCTCTTCCTCCTCCTCCTCCTCCTCCCACCATCATCATCGTCATCACCCATTTCGGCACACCCCTCACACGTTTCGTGGCCCCATAGGGAGCTCCACCGAAGGTCCCAGTGCGTGTGCCCGCATGCGTCCCGCACACCCATTTCGGCACACCCCTCACACGTTTCGTGGCCCCATAGGGAGCTCCACCGAAGGTCCCAGTGGTGTGCCCGCATGCGTCCCGCACACCCATTCGCACACCCCTCACACGTTTCGTGGCCCCATCGGGAGCTCCACCGAAGGTCAATGGGTGTGCCCGCATGCGTTCCGCACACCCATTTCGGCACACCCCTCACACGTTTCGTGGCCCCATAGGGAGCTCCACCGAAGGTCCCAGTGGGTGTGCCCGCATGCGTCCCGCACACCCATTTCGGCACACCCCTCACACGTTTCGTGGCCCCATAGGGAGCTCCACCGAAGGTCCCAGTGGGTGTGCCCGCATGCGTCCCGCACACCCATTTCGGCACACCCCTCACACGTTTCGTGGCCCCATAGGGAGCTCCACCGAAGGTCCCAGTGGGTGTGCCCGCATGCGTCCCGCACACCCATTTCGGCACACCACCCCTCGCACGTTTTTCGTGGCCCCATAGGGGCTCCACCGAAGGTCCCAGTGGGTGTGCCCGCATGCGCACCCGCACACCCATTTCGGCACACCCCTCAAACGTTTCGTGGCCCCATAGGGAGCTCCACCGAAGGTCCCAGTGGGTGTGCCCGCATGCGTCCCGCACACCCATTTTGGCACACCCCTCACACGTTTCGTGGCCCCATAGGGAGCTCCACCGAAGGTCCCAGTGGGTGTGCCCGCATGCGTCCCGCACGCCCATTTCGGCACACCCCTCACCCGCATGCGTCCCGCACACCCATTTTGGCACACCCCTCATACGTTTCGTGGCCCCATAGGGAGCTCCACCGAGGTCCCAGTGGGTGTGCCCGCATGCGTCCCGCACACCCATTTCGGCACATCCCTCACACGTTCCGCGGCCCCATAGGGAGCCCAACCGAAGGTCCCAGTGGGTGTGCCCGCATGCGTCCCGCACACCCATTCGGCACATCCCTCACACGTTTCGTGGCCCCATAGGGAGCTCCACCGAAGGTCCCCGTGGCGCAGTCCGCTTGCGTCTCCCCCACCCAGTACACCTCCGCCGGAGGCCGTCGGAGTTCCGCGCCTCGCTCGCCCGTCGTCGCTCTGCCCAGCGGCAAGAGCCTTGCCCGCTATCAGCCAGCCAGCTAGCTCTTTTTGCTGCGCGCAGCGGACGACCTGCGCGCGTCGCTGGGACCCCTCCGGGGCGACCTGCGCGCGTCGCTGGGACTCCGCGCTGCGCTGCGCCCGCAGCTTTGGACTTTTGAGTGCGCGGGCAGAGAGGGAGTAAAAGAAGGGGAGGAAGCGGGCGCGATCCTCGCGGTGGCGTCGCGGCGCGCGGGCGATGCCGTCGGGGAGCCCCGGGGAAGCTCCTTGCGGCGGCCACGCCCAGCGTCACGAGTACTCAGAGGCAGTCACTCACAAACTATTCGCATTCATATACAATTGCACCATGCATTGGCATACTCGCATTCGTGCACGTAGACTCGCTCGCACGCAGATTCGTTCACAGTCAGACGCAATCGCGCTCAGATTCACCCGCGCTCAGTCTCCCGACGTACTCAGATCAATCGTTTTCGCTCGCGTCGTGTACCACGCCACTCGTTTCGGCACACCCCTAGCACGGTTCGTTGCCTCATAGGGATCACCACCGAAAAGGGAATCACAATTGCGGTACTCACACCTGCATATGGTTGGGTCATTCGTCAGGCTAATTTTGTTTTTTTTTTGGGGGGGGGGGTTGGGTCTGCAAGCCCCCGTGCCCGCCGCGGCCTCCCTCCCAGCACCCCTCTCTCTGCCTCTCAAAACCAAAAATAACAAAAACAAGAAAAAGTGTTTCGTGGCTTCGCAAACAAAAAACACACAGCGTTTCCTTGCACCGGTGGCGCCAAGCATTGCGTAGGGAGAGAGAGAGAGAGAGAGAGAGAGAGAGAGAAAAAAAATTAGCCTGACGAGGGACCCAACCATATGCAGGTGCGAGTACCGCAATAGTGATTCATTTTTTCGGTGGCGATCCCTATGAGGCAACGAACCGTGCTAGGGGCGTGCCGACATGAGTGGCGTGGTACACAAAGTGAACGAAAACGATTGATCTGAGTACGTAGGGAGACTGAGCGCGGGTGAATCTGCGCGCGTGCGTCTGACTGTGAATGATCTGCGTGCGAGCGAGTCTACGTGCATGAATGCGAATATGACAAAGCGTGGTGCAAATGTGTATGAATGCCAATAGTTTGACAACGACTGCCTCTGAATACTCGTGACGCTGGGCGTGGCCGCCGCAAGGAGCTTCCCCGGGACTCCCCGACGGCATCGCCCGCGCGCCGCGACGCCAATGTCGGCGCGCCCCCCCGCGAGGATCGCGCCCGCTTCCTCCCCTTCCTTTACTCCCTCTTTGCCCGCGCACTCAAAAGTCCAAGGCTGCGGGAGCAGCGCAGCGCGGAGCCCCCGCGACGCGCGCAGGTCACCCCGGAGGGGTCCCAGCGACGCGCGCGGGTCGTCCACTGCGCGGAGCGAAGAGAGCTAGCTGGCTGGCTGATAGCGGGCAAGGCTCTTGCCGCTGGGCAGAGCGACGACGGGCGAGCGAGGCGCTGGGCGGAACGCAGCACGGAGCCCCCGCGACGCGCGCAGGTCGCCCCGGAGGAGTCCCAGCGACGCGCGCGGGTCGCCCGCTGCGCGGAGCAAAGAGAGCTAGCTGGCTGGCTGGGACCTGCGGTGGGGCTCCATATGGGGCCACGTAACGCTGTACTGGGCAAAGGAGACGCATGTGGACTGCGCCACGGGGACCTTCGGTGGAGCTCCCTATGGGGCCACGAAACGTGTGAGGGATGTGCCGGACTGGGTGTGCGGGACGCATGCGGGCACACCCACTGAGACCTTCGGTGGAGCTTCCCTATGGGGCCACGAAACGTATGAGGGGTGGGACGACATGGGTGTGCGGGACGCATGCGGGCACACCCACTGGGACCTTCGTTGGAGCTCCCTATGGGGCCACGAAACGTGTGAGGGGTGTGCCGAAATGGGTGTGCGGGACGCATGCGGGCACACCCACTGGACCTTCGGTTGGAGCCCCCTATGGGGCCACGAAACGTATGAGGGGTGTGCCGAAATGGGTGTGCGGGACGCATGCGGGCACACCCACTGGGACCTTCGGTGGAGCTCCCTATGGGGCCACGAAACGTTTGAGGGGTGTGGCCGAAATGGGTGTGCGGGACGCATGCGGGCACACCCACTGGGACCTTCGGTGGAGCTCCCTATGGGGCCACGAAACGTGTGAGGGGTGTGCCGAAATGGGTGTGCGGGACGCATGCGGGCACACCCACTGGGACCTTCGGTGGAGTTCCCTATGGGGCCACGAATAGTGTGAAGGGTGTGCCAAACTGGGTGTGCGGGACGCATGCGGGCACACCCACTGGGACCTTCGGTGGAGCTCCCTATGGGGCCACGAAGCGTGTGAGGGGTGTGCCGAAATGTGTGTGCGGGACGCATGCGGGCACACCCACTGGGACCTTTGGTGGAGCCCCTATGGGGCCACGAAACGTGTGAGGGGTGTGCCGAAATGGGTGTGCGGGACGCATGCGGGCACACCCACTGGGACCTTCGGTGGAGCTCCCCTATGGGGCCACGAACGTGTGAGGGGTGTGCCGAAATGGGTGTGCGGGACGCATGCGGGCACACCCACTGGGACCTTCGGTGGAGCTCCCTATGGGGCCACGAAACGTGTGAGGGGTGTGCCGAAATGGGTGTGCGGGACGCATGCGGGCACACCCACTGGGACCTTCGGTGGAGCTCCCTATGGGGCCACGAAACGTGTGAGGGGTGTGCCGAAATGAGTGTGCGGGACGCATGCGGGCACACGCACTGGGACCTTCGGTGGAGCTCCCTATGGGGTCACGAAACGTGTGAGGGGTGTGCCGACATGGGTGGTGATAATGATGATGACGACAGATGATGATGACGATGACGATGATGGGGATGATGACGATGATGATGAAGATGGGAGGAGGGAGGGGGCAGCGGGAAGGAAGGAACGCGGGGCGACGTCTCTTCAAAACGAGGACCCAACACCACAGGATGGTTGGGAAAAAAAAAAAAGAGAGAGAGAGAGAGACAGAGAAAAAAGAGAGAGAGAGAGAGAGGCAGAGAGAGGCAGAGAGAGAGAGAGGCAGAGAGAGAGAGGGAGAAAGAGAGAGAGAGAGAGAGAAAACAAAAAAAAGGAAAAGAAGCAGTCGAGGATGAGGAGACGAAAAGGTATGATCTTGGGGGGGGGGAGGGCGACCATATATATATATATATATATATATGTGTGTGTGTGTGTTTTCCAGTTTCCGAGTCTGGGCACCTTTTCCTCCTCTCGGGGTTCTTCTGACCCGGGTCAATCCAGACCCGGGTCAGCAGGGAACCAAAAACTGCAATGCAGAAAGAAAAACTGCAGCGCAGATCTTCGCAAACCCGGGTCAGCCAATAATTAGGCGCGGCCGCCCCGCGGCCACGAGCGGCTCGCTAACCCGGGTCAGCCAGAGGGGGCCTTCGCAGGATCCTGCAGGATCTGGCGCCCTGACTGACCCCCCGTTTGCACTGACCCCCGTCTCAAGGCGACGACCCCAGGAGAGAAGGACGCGGCGGCGGCGACGGCGACGACGACGCCGTCGTCGGCGGCTGCGCGGCTTCCTCGTCAGGCGATGGCCCGCGGCCTGTTCGCCGGCCGGCGGGGCCGCCCAGCCGCACGGGAAGCTTCCGCGGAGCGGAGGGTGCATCGGAGGCTCCGGAGGCTCGGGCGCCGTCCTTGCGGACGTCGTCGTCCTTCTCCTTCTCCCCCGTTTGCACTGACCCCCGTCTCTTAGGCTCCCGACTCTGAGCTTTCACATCCGCTGGCGACGTCTGCGCGGAGAGCCGGCGACGTCTGCGCGGAGAGGGGGCCTCAGCGCCCCCGCCTCGGGTGGCCGCTCGTATAAGCACCGTTGGAAGCGATCCCCGTCCCCACGGGCGCGGCCCGGGGCCCTCCGGGCCGCTGTGTCTCCCCCGTCGACAGGGGACTCTGGCGGTTCCCTTCGGGCGTCGAGGGGCACTGGCCATCGCTCGGACGCCCATTCCCTGTGCGTTTTGTTCGGTTTCGAGCGTGTTTTTTTTTCGCCAAATGATCAGGGATGCTCCTCGATGGTCCTCGCCGAAGGAAAATGCACACGTCCGAGCGATGCCAGGGGCATGTCCCCAGCTGGGGCGGTTGGCCGTCGGGGATCGGGAACGGGGATGGGGATCGGTCCAACTCGCCGAGCGCGTGCCACTGCTCGCAACGTGCCCACTCGCACACGTCCGAAAACGCGTGTCTGCCTTGACGTCATTTATCGTAGGTCCCCCGCGGGGGATCCAGGCCATCTGCGAGCAATTACTCTGCGAGTGGTGGAACGCGCTCGTCCACAAACGATACTGAGTTCGGGACGACCCGGGCACCGCCGGAGCGCCCTCCGGGCGAGGCGAGGCGCAGATCTCGAGGGGCAGCGATGGGGGGGGGAGCCGGCTCGGCTGTGGGGGATACAGTCGGCCCATATCGCAAGGATGCGCGATGAGGATGCAAGGGCCTTGGACGCCCGCGGGGCAGGATGCAGGACGCAGGATCTAAAACTGCGATGCAAGGTGCAAGATGCAAGCGATGATGAGGATGCAGGATCTAGTGCAGGTTGCAGGATGCAGGCGATGAGAAGGATGCAGCATGCATCGCGGAGTTTTTCGAGCGGGGCGCGGCCAACGAGAGTGGCCAAGGAAGGACCGAGGAGGCAAGGATGCAAGAGTAGCCTTGCGAAGGTTGCCAATCCTTCCCGTGCGGGTGGGCTGCACACCGAGCTGGGACCGGCGACCCGTCGCCGATAGAACGGCGACGGGCCCCCGGTGGCAACTCCGCGCGCTCCTGGGCCCCGATCGGCGATCCATTGGCGACTCGGGGGCGATGCATCCCCCATCAGTCGTCTATTAACGGACGAGGAACGGTATTCCCTAAACTTATTCGCCGTCGGGGACACCTGCCCCAGGGCGGCTGGAAAAGTTATACCCTTACGGTGGCACCGTAGGGGTATGAACTTTCCAGCCGCCCAGGGGCAGGTGTCCCCGACGGCGGAAAGTTTATTTTATACCGTTCTTCGCTCGCTGAGTCTGAGTCTATCCCCCCCTTCAATTGCCCCCGACAGCTGCCGGAGCCGATCCTCTACCGACGACGACGCCTGCGACGGCGGGCGCAGCCGCCTGCGATGGCACGGGACGCGCCGGGGATGTTCAGCGTGCGGATGGCCAGCGCCTGTCGGCGGACGGAGGCGCCGGCGGCGAGAGCGGGGAGGGGGGAAAAGGAGGGCGAGCAGGAGGGGGGAAGAGGAGGAGGAGGAGGAGGAGGAGGAGGAGGAGGAGGAGGAGGAGGGAGGAGGGGATGGTCATGTTTTCCAAATAGCAGCGGACCGGTGGCGCAAAGGATTCACAACCGATGGCCGCTCACGAGGAGGAGGAGGAGGAGGAGGAGGAGGAGGAGGAGAGAGGAGGACGAGGAGGAGGAGGAGGAGGAGGAGGAGGAGGAGGAGGAGAAGAAGAAGGGCGAGGGGGATAATCTTTTCTTCCCAAAAAGCAGCGGGCCGTTGGCGGTGAAGGATTCACAACCGACGGCCACTCTCTCTCTCTCTCTCTCTCTCTCTTTCTTGAGAGAGAGAGAGAGAGAGAGAACAGAAAGAGGAAGAGGAGGAGGATGGAGGAGGAGGAGGAGAGGAGAAGAGGAAGAGGGAGGAGGAAGAGGAGGGGAATCCCTCTCGCTACCGAAGAGGAGGATGGGGGAGGAGAGGAAGAGAGGAGGAGGAGGAGGAGGAGGAGGAGGAGAGGAGAGGAGGAGGAGGAGGAGGAGGAGGAGGAGGGGAGGAGGAGGATGAGGAGGAGGAGGAGGAGGAGAGAGGAGGAGGGAGGAGGAGGAGGAGGGAGGGGGGGATGGAGGGGAGGAGGAGGAGGAGGGAGAGGAGGAGGAGGAGGAGGAGGAGGAGGAGGAGGAGAACTGACAGGGAGAGAACGGTCTGCAGCAGCCCCAGAACAGGCTTCGGCGCAACCCCTGCGAGGTCACGGGGCAGGCGTGCACCGCTCGGCAGGCCCCTGGGCGCGCGCTCGATGGGGGCGCTGGGCAGCCCGCCCCACGCCGGCGCCCTGCGCCCACCGGCCGGGGCTGCCAACTCCGCGGGCCCAGCCGCCTCGCCCTCCAGGTGCGCTCCGGGGCAAGGCTTGTGCTGCTCCCATCGCACTTCAGGGCCACGTCCAACGTGATGGGCCTGTCTTCCACCACCACCACCACCACAAGTTGGAGGAGGGGGTCCTCCTCCTCCACCTCCTCCTTCTCCTCCTCCTCCTCCTCCCCCTCAAACTTATGGTGGTGGTGGTGGTGGAAAGCAGGCCCATCACAACGAAATCATTTCGGGCACCCAGACAAGTTATAGAAACAGTGTCGAACGAGTATCGCCTCCGAGGGCCCGGCACGTGAACACCAACAAGTTTCAGTACTTACTTGGTGCTCGAGATTATTTCTGGTGATCGAGGCTAAAGTCGGTTGAAACATGATAAGGCAAGGCAAGCTTAATTACATCCAGCGGCCGCCGACAGCGGAAGTGACTTTCCCCTTCGCCTCCGCGATGACGACTGGGGTGGACCGCTTCTTGCCCGCCATAAGGGCCTGCCTGCCCATGCGACTCGAAGTCGAGCTCTTTGCGGCCTGGCCCTCCCGCTTCCAGCGCTTCGCCTCCAGCGCCAGCCGCTGGCGGAGCTACTGCCGCCTCGGCGCAAGGCCCTGGCGGACAGGGAGGCCACCAACCCAACTGAGCGACGAAAAACCAACGGGTCTCACGCAAGATGGCATAGCGACCTTGCGCGGCGGTTTGGGCGGGCCGCCAGCGCGGCACGCCACACTGGAGACGAGGGCGCTTACGCGCGCCTTCTCGCGGGCAGCTTACGCGCCAAGCGAAGACGGCTCCGTTGTTTTGCGTCGCTCGGCTGTCGTCCTCCTCGCTTTCGCCGTGCACACCTGAGAGCGCCACGCGTGCCAGGCCATCGTAGAGGGCGACGAATCCACCCCCATGACAACGACCCCGACAAGCGAGGTCGTCCAGCCAACGCACTCAAGAGAAGGAATCGAAAGGGGCCGGGCTGTTTCGCAAACGCCCAGGGCCGTTCAGCAAGCGCCAATGATCGGGCCCCGGTGGTTTTTGACTACCTACCAGACCACCCCAACCCAACCCGAAGACCCGAATTTGAATCGAAATTCGGGTTGGGGGGGGTATGGGTTCCATGTGTTTTTTCAATGTTCCCCGACCCCCCCCACTGGAAATCGAGGATAAATTTGGGCTTTCGGGTTGGGTTGGGGTGGTTTGGTGGGTGGTGAGTTTTTCTTCCCTTGACATCGGGCGGTCTCGCTGGCGCCCTCCGGGAGCCGCCGCCGGCCTCCGCGCCCGCCGCGGGCCGCAGCCTCCGCGTGCGCCGCCTCGCCGGCGACGGCGAGCGCGGCCTCCGGCCGCGGCGTCGCTCGCGCTGCAGCCCAGGCCTCCAGCGCGAGCGCCGCCTGCCGCTCCACCGTCGGGCGCCGCTTCCGCTTCGTGGGGGGGGGCGATCGAGTCGGGGGGGCGGGGAGGAGGGTGCACCTCTCGGGCCCGCGGGGGCCCCCCTCTTGGGCTTCAGGGGGGCCCCTCGTCTGCAGCCCTCGCTGCCCTCCCCCCCCCACCCCCACCCCGTGACTTGGCTGCCTACACGACCACCCCAACCCAACCCCCGAAGACCCAAATTTCCCGGCTTGGGGGGGGGGATGCGGGTTCAAGGTGTGTCTTTGCAATGTTCCCCGGCGCCCCCCCCCCACACACACGAAAACAAAGGGAGGGCAGAACCGGGGCCTTCGGGTTGGGCTGGGGTGGTTTGGTGGGCGGTGAACCTCGCGCCCCCATTGCGCGACGCCCAACGCTCGGGGACGCGCAAACATGGACTAGCGATCCAGGGACTCGGCGCGCGGTCGCCAGATCCATGGATCGCGGGAGGCGCCCTCCCCAAGAGTGCGGCCGGCGCCGCCTCGCTCGGCGGCGGGAATCCGCGACCTCACATGGAAACGGGACCCGTCGCCAAACCACGCCCCCTTGATCCACGTTTGCGATCGCCTGAGGCTGGGCTGAGGTGGTTTGGTTGGCGGTGCATCTCGCTCCCCCATTGCGCGACGCCCAACGCCGCGCCCTCGCCGCCGCCGCCGGGGGCGCGCCGCCCGGGCGCCGCTGGGGAGGGCTGCGACTGCCGCGGGCGGCTGCGAGCGCGTCTCTCTCCGCGCCGAGCCGCCGCCACGCGGAAGGGCGAACACCCTTTGGCGGCGCCCGCGGCAAGCCGTGTGCCCCCGGAGGGGGACCGCCCCGCCGCGGAGCTTTCCGCGAAATCACGCGGGCCGAGGAGAAGGAGGAAGGATCGGAGTCAGACGCAGTTGGGATCCTCCCTGACGGGGGAGGAGGAGGAGGAGGTGGAGGAGGAGGAGGAGGAGGAAGAAGAAAGGGAGAAGCAGGAGGAGGAGGAGGTGGAGGAGGAGGAGGAGGAGTAGAAGGAGGAGGTGGAGGAGGGGCAGGAGGAGGAGAAGGAGGAGGTGGAGGAGGAGGAGGAGGAGGAGCAACAGCAGGAGCAGCAGGAGCAGCACCAGCGGTCCGATGATGTACCTCTAACTAACGACGCAGCCAGGGCAGCCGAAAGCAGGATGATGAGCGGACCAGGCGGAACAGGAGGAGGAGGAGGGAGAAAACCAGGAGGTAGCACAGGGCCCCCCACGCGGATCTACCTCGACATGACAGGCGCGGTACAACACTTGTAGTGTGGTAAAACAGCCTATAAACACTCTCACACACACACACACATCTGCCACAACGACTGGCACAGCAGTGCGGCGGGCATCAACTACTGTTATACAACATGGCTTGGTATAATCTACGACCTCACATCTTCCACACCTACGGCTTGCATAACATCAATTACCGCACAGCGAGGATTTCTGACTGCCATTCTCTCATGCTTAGTTAGTCCTGTTCCTTTCCTGTGTACCGAGGCCGAGCATCCGCTGCTTGCCGAGGTGGGCTTGCTCATCAGGTGGGGTGGAGGGGAGCTTGCTGCCTATGCCATTGGGCCAACGGGTGGGGAAGCAGTTCGTTCAGCCCTCGTTCAGCCCTCTGCGTACCTTAGCCTGCAATGTCACAGGCTCGACTCGCAGCTCGCAGCCGGCCCCTCGCGTTCGGCCCCTGCGCCCGCCGTGCCTCGGCCGCTCCGTCGCTCCTCCTCCTCGCGCCCCTCCCCCTGCTTCTGGCGGCCGCCGGCCTCTCCCCCCCCCCCCCGAGGGTCGTGCCTCGCTGCTGGCTGGTGGACGGTGAGCTCCCGCGTGCCCGCTTGCGCACGCGTGCGAGCTAGGCGGCCGCCTCCCCCCCTCCTTGCCTCGCCCGCCGTGCGTGCCCGCCGGCGGGCCGCGCGCGAGGTCACGCGAGGCATCCTCGGCTCGGACGCCTGATCGTCGCAGCCCGCACTCTCGGCCATGCTTCGCGATGCGCTCGGACCTCTAGCCTTCACGCCCATCCTTCGTCAGCTTTGCCGTGCTGTCTGCTGGGCGGGTCGATTGGGATCGTTTAGGAGGGTCGACGGGGACGAGTGGTTGCTCGCAACAGTCCGCAGTCGCACGTCTTGCTCCTCAACCTTAAAACACACACACAATTTCAGTCCAGGCCCCCCTACCGTAGGGTGCGGCCCCACGACGCATATTACCAGCCGCCGCGTCCATATGTCCCCAGATTGCTGCACGGTCGACTGGGAAAATTGCTTGGGTTGGGTTGCGAGAAAAGGTGGGGGATTTGACACGGCTACCTCAATCAGCCAGCTATCTTCGAAGGCCAGCCATTACGCATGGTCAGCCTCAGCACTTTAGGTAAACAATGGCACGCCGCAGCCGTACTTGCTCACTTCGTGATACTCACCTGACTGCACCCGCTCTTGAACGACCTATCTCTGCCAGCCTCTACTCCCAGCTCGACATTGCCAGTTGGTATCTAGTTCGTGCTAAACCCGAACAACAAGAATGCACATGACGTGGGTCCCGCGGCCCTGGAGGTTTGAGGTGAACAGCAACACCCTGGGTTGCAGCCCAAGGAATGCCGCCAAGCTTGCGCTCCCTATTAACTATTCATTTCGCAGCTTACGAGCTTAGTTGTGATGGTGGTGGGGTCTTCACTTGGGCGGGTATGCTGAGGTGGGGAGGGAGGTGCGAAGGAAATTCAAAGC